TGATGGACTTAGCAGGAGACCATCTGGGGTTTTAACATAAAGATACGTGTCATTTAAGAGTTATTCAGCCCGCAAGTCAGCTGTGCTTCATACTTTTGTTTTCTTCAGTCACCAAAAAGTAATTATATTAAGAATAAAAGACCTTGAAAAATGAAACAAAATATTAAAATAGTAAAAAAATAATCCCTTTCAGTCCCCTGTATATCAAAGGGCTTGTTTTGACCACTTACCTTGACTTCATATCATTGTCATTTGCTGTGTCTGGTTTGGAGCATGGCAGACAGAGAGGGATGTGCAAGTGCCACTAGAAGCCATCAAAGTCAGTGAAATTGGCCAGCTGGCTATGCAGACATCCCTTAGAAGTATTTCTAGCACATTTGGTTCCTGGCTGGGTATTGTAAATGGGGATGGAAGAAAGGAAATCTCTCTGTATGTATATCAGAGCTTTGAAAAAATGAATGTGGGACACGGAAACATGAAACTTGCAGTTTCTGACTCTCTGCTAAGTCTTTATCCTCGCTGTTCTTCCCACCATTCATAAGCCAGAGCATTTTCCAGGCCTGGCTCATACAACACCCCTCAACACCCTGCTTAACTAAGCTCCCCATAAAATTTCCCATTATGTTGGCATCAGGTATAAGGACTTTTTTTTTTACAGAGACCTGTAGAAACAATACCTCCATACCTCCTTCTTTCCTCAAAACTAAGATAGCTTATTCTGTTTTATGAATGATCCCTGCTTGGAAAGGCAAGGAAGGAAAAGCAGTTATTACTTTGCTCCTTTGCTGTCATTGAACCTTCCCTGAATTTCAGCCCTTTCCTCTTGTGATGTATTGCTCCTCTGGAGATTTCAGCCCAGCCCAGCCCAGGAAGGGACTATCTGTGCAGTCTGTATCCTCTATATATAAAAGGAATGGACTAGATCCATCAGCACTTTAGTGCTTTTACTCCATAGCCCTGTTCATTTCAGTGTTTTTTAGATTATGCTGTAGCTGTTTAGACTCTGCCCTTGCTTTGCAGGTGAACTTTACTGTCAGGGAGATAGAAATGATTGAAAAGTCCTGTTTTTTCCTCAAGAATTGCAGGCTTTTTTTGTCTATTCATCTGTCGATGGGTACATTTCCTTTCTCGCTAACATGGTATATTCAGAGAGGATGACATTTTTCCCCCTGAAACATTACCCAGGCAAATCCTGCAATAAATAGCTGTATCTTCAGAGGAGTTTGAGATACTGATTGTAGGACTCTTGAAAAATGTCTCTGTAAGGAGCAAAGGGTTTGAAATCATCACTGCGATTAAGCAACCAACATCCTGCGCTCTGGTTTGTGGTACAAAGGTAGCATGAAAAAAGTACTGTACCTTGTTATAAGAGCTGTTCAGTCATCAGACCTCTGCAGCCTTTTTAAAATGACCTGAATTTATACTCAAATTCATTAAACTTCACTTACAAATCAGAGAGTAAAGGTGCAAATGCAGTACATGGAGGCCACACAATGGGTAGGGACACAAATACAGACACAATATGACCATCAGGCCACTGTGATAAATGTGGGACAAAAGGCTGCAGCCCAGAGCGCATGGCTTCTGGTGGAATCGTGATCAAGGGATTTGAAAGGCTTCCTTGTGAGTACTGAGCCATCTCAGAGATCCTTCCTAGCAACAGAAGCCAGACAGCAAATTTTTCTGCCCATGGGAAATGTACTTCCAGCCTCACTTTCTCATTCTGTAAACCCTGGAAATAGCATTCACCACCCCTTCTTTACCCAGATGTTGTTTTTTTCTGTCACAGATCTCTCTTGTTTGACGTGGGACCTTATTTCACTCAAGCTGTTGCTAGTTCTGGAGTAACATTTCAGGTGACATGAGGGTACGTTTCCTCTAGAATGTCTATAATGCCTTTAGTCAGCAGGAATGAAATTGTCTGATGATGCTTCCCCCTTGGGGACCTCACTGAAAATGAGATCTATCTCTCATGAGGACCTCCCAGCAAGCACAATTGAAATATCTTTGTGACTGCAGTAGCTCCATAATGAATGAATTAATTGATTTCACCCTCAGCTGCTTCTTCATTGACCCTTCTGGCCCCACAGTGGGGAAAGAGCTTTGTTCCAGTTCCAGTTTCCCTTAAAGCCCTGTTCTATTTAAAGATAGATGGAATGGCTTCAGGGCTCCAGGTGGGAATCTCAAACTCTCGGCTTTGGATAACAGCTGGATGGGTCATCAAGCTCAACACCTAGTTTGGAGTGAAGGATGAGAACTTGCACCTCACAGCCACCCTCAGGGTCTCCGTTACAAGATGGAAAGTGGGTCTGAGAAGTCTGATGTCCAAACAATGCATCTACCTCGATCTGCATGACTGTTCAAGGAGCTTGTGTGGACATCTTTGGGTCTTCAGGTAGCCTCAGTTTTCCCATTGCTTCTTAAACCAAATCATGAATTGAGAAAACACTCTGGGACTCACCTATCCATCAGGATCCTTCCCATCTTTGAAAGTGTGATGTATCCAGCTCTCCCTGTGAACAGCAAGGTGACCATAGCCACCACATGGATGGGGTAGATTTCTACTTTTAACCTGGGAAAAGGCAGGGCTGTGCATAGGAATTCAGGAAGAAAAGGTGGAACGATTCATCAGTGCCTGACAAAGTGGGTGCTATTCGCATTTATAGGCAAACAGCCCCCCCTCGAGTCAATGCCGCAGGGTGTCATCTCAGGGTACTCCCCCCAGCTGCTCAGGCTGGGATAACCAAGCAGTTAAGTAGCTACAGAGAAAGCCTATGGGACTCAGCTCACTACGGGTCTGTTAAAAACCCGACGTTATTCTCACACCCTGGAAAGTCAGTCACGCACTGCTGAAGGTCTCATACAGGGCATCAGATATGACAGCTACTGCTTGGTGTGTTCCAGTCAACAGAGAGCAGCTCTAGAAGTTACATCCTCACCAATTTTAACTGTAGCTCTGAAGTGACTTCTCAATGTCTTTGCCTCTGTTTCTCTGTTGTGTTCTCCAGTCCTAATTGGATTCTCTGTCCATTGCAAAATACTTGGTGTCAAATATTGCCCTTCCTCTGGAAAATACTGCTTCTATTATATCTGTTTTAAATCTTAAAATGGAACGTTTCCATTTATTTTTTCAAGGGAATGTTTGAAACATCTGAATGTTCAAAATGCTCATGTTCCACTTTTAATGAAAGGTTGAGATTCTTGATTTTGTTGAGTGGACATGGACATTTCTCAGAGTTGCATGTTCTGTGGAAGCTAAAATATTTCCTCCCATTTGGGGGATGAAAACAGACATTGAAAAAGTGGAGTTTTTCTCCTGGATAAAGTCTGCATTCTGGTCATCTGATATATAAATTTCAGAGTGGCCATGAATGCGCTAAGCAACATCATGAAAGGGTTAAATGTGATTGCACATGGTCCTGAATCCCTCTTTAGCAATATGCCCCTATTATGTAGGACTTCTAGGTGAGCCAGTAACAAAGAATTAAATCAATCTCCTATTAGTAGATGCCACCTGCCTGAGGACACAGCGTTTAAAGCCCACAGCTGTATTGTAATGGTTTTTATTGTGGTGACATCTGAGAACCGCAGGTGTGGATGAGATTTCACTGGTACTGCTCATTGTGAAAAGACAAAGCAAAATTCAAAGCACTTGTAGTGTAAATACAGCACCAGGGGACACAAAGCTGGAGTTACACAGGTCAGGGAAGGACACAGCAAAGTGTGCTCATGGATTTGCCCTCAGCCTCTTCCTTTGGTGTAAGCATCCAACAAGCGCCCTGATGTTCCTTGCAGCAGATGCTAAGAGCAAGAGACTGGATGGGGCAGTCAGGAGATAGGGGTCTAGATGGAGGAAGCTGTCACATCTGCAAATACATTCTGGACACAGAAGAGGAAATCAAGACCCAGGTTCCATTGCCATGGGAGGAATGGATGAATCTTACAGAGATCATTGCAAGGAAGTTTCAGGTATCTCTGGACAGCTGCTTGCTATGTCTCAGACCTGTTTTGACTCACTTTTCCCCTTGTCCCATTTCCACTCTAAGCCACCAGGATGGGCTGTGCTGGAAGGCTTGTCACTATAGCTGCTAGAGAGGAAAAAAGCTTCGTCCAGGTGTTAAATAGGAACTGTGAAAACAGTAAATGGGATGCCTTTGTGAAGGAGGCAGAGGGGATGCCCAAACTACCATCAGCCTGCCCGCATCCCCTCAGATCTCTGTTTTGTGGTCCATTTCCAGCTGTGCCATCCTCAGAGATGGTTCAGATTTAGCATTCAGAACTGAGCACCTAGGGCCAGCTCAGCACCCAGGGCTGCCCCAAGCAGACATCTCCCTCAAAATAGGACTGACTGAAGCACTGCCCAGTTTCCTCTCACTCCTCCTCATTTCTTTTTCTGCTATGTTTCACTTTGGTAGAAGGAAATTGTTTTGACTGTATCTTCCTTGTAGACATTAAATACCTTTCAAACCAAGGTCATAGTCCCTGGAGCTACACAGCATGCATGAAGATAACAGTTCAAACTGGGTTTGCTGCCCTCGTGGCAGACAGGGAGCTGCTACTGCTTGTCATGGGGGTTTCTCTCCAGGCAGCATCACAGTTCTGTATCCTGAGTTTCCAAGGGGAGGAAGAGATCTTGTGAGCCCTCTTTTGCTTCCATGTGCACACCTACAGTAACAGGCATGTCAGGTCTCCCAGGTAATCTAAAGGGTGGCTATCTGTACAGTGCTTTGGGGTTTTTAGTATGCACCCACAGGTTTCTACTTCCAAGGAGAAATAAGGCATCCATAACATCGAAACAGCACGGAGAGGTACAGCCTTGAAACAGGAACAACTAATGATGTGTGGCAGGTAGGCAGGGCCTGGACAAAGTGCTGCATGGCAGCGTACATGCCAAGTGGGTTCCTGGCAGCTGATTCATCTTCCCACGTCACGTCTGATGTTTGAATAGAGGAAAACACATGAGTTTACTTCCAGTGCCTCTCCCTGTCAGGCAGGTGACCTTTTCATAGCTCTGGAGCTCAGGGGAGAAGGCAGCCTACAAAGTGTTCAGACGGTGCTTGGCAAATGAAGACATGTAAACGAGGTGAGCAATGATGGGGGGAGCTGGGGAGCACCAGGCATCAGCAGGCACTGGAAGCCTGTCTCATTAGCAGGGGAATGTTTGCTTTGGCTCCCATGCTGAGGAGCAGCAGAGAGGGCTAATGGCTGGGACTGGACAGTACATGGGTCGGGATGGAGCGCTGGGGATGGTTTATCCCATCTGGGGAAAGGAAGCCAGGCTGGCAGCTCTCACTGTATCACAGCTTTGCTTACAAAGCACTCAGGAGAGTGCACAGGGTCTCACATTGCTTTGTGCTGCCACTCTGCCAAGGGAGGAGCAATTTTTCCCCACTGACATCATCCAGTACACCCTGAATCCCCACCTCTTAACACCCATGTGTGATACCCACCACAGACACATGACAGCCAGGTCCCACAGCTATCTTTGTGCTGACGTTCAGTGTTGTGGAGCTCGTACAGAGCCTGTGGTCATCGCAGTTGACTGCTTGGTGTCTTCTGGCCCCTTCAATCATCGCTTTAGAAAAGGCTGTTAAGCCTAGAAGGGCAGAAGTGTTCCCCTTTATGTTAGTAAATGTCAATTTTGTGCCAGTGTACACAACCCATGTGTAAACCTTAATCCCTGCTTCAGAGCATCTCGTTTTCTCCCTCCCTTTGCACCTCCTTTGCCCAGAGCAAGCACAAGATCCCAGCTGGCCCCCTTCCCTGTTGGCTTCTCATAGGCACCAGCCTCCTTAGCCAGCCAACGTTGTTCCCACTGTGCCTTGTTGCTGCTGATAGGGGAATCTGGGCTAGAATAGCCCTTCCTGAAGCCAGCGATAACTGTCTAACCCCTGACTAACTGCAAGAGGGAGCCATTCGGTCCTGGAGTCCATCTTATCTGACCCATCAGAAAGCAGAAAGCATTTGTTATCTGACTGATCCTGACTATAACCCTCAGGAAGGCTTGAATGTGGTAGATGCAAAGATGACTTTCCGCCGGGTGAGCTAAAAGAGCTGGAAGCAATGATTGCTTGGATTACAGCAGACAACAGCTTTGTGATTTGTACACAATGAGGAAATTGGATCTGGGTTTGGATTTGCAGCTATAGGTAGCTCAGATTCTTCTGCATCACTCGCTCGCTTCTGGGAATGGTCAGACAAGATGAGTTTTGGTTGAGTAGCTTATGTTTGCTAAAAGTTTTTTTGATAGGAAATGTGATTCAGTGGTTGTGGATTTTCTGACTAGATAAAAAGTTTGCAAACAGATCTGTTCTCGTAGAAATAACTTCCTGGGTTGCAGTTGTTCTGAAAGAGAAAAATCAATACAATGTTCAACCTTAAGCTGCAAGGCACTTTTTCATCAGAACTCCCCATGTCCCCTTCCCCCAAATACTTTTGATGACAAATGTGGGGATTATTTTTTTCTCTTGAAACTAAGCAAAAGAAATAAACTTTAATAAAAGTTTTCATGTTGGTTTTCCATGGAAGATGGGCAGCCAGCAGGTCTTTCTCACTGGTTCCAAATAAAATGCCTGTTTATTTCCACAGGTGAACAAAGTGGGTAGATATCATCCCTTACACACTCCCTGCCCTGAATCCGAACTTGAGGATCCACAGGTTCTTTCTTCAACAGTGAAAAGATTCAGTTGGTTTCCTCCTCTTATCTCTTTCAATGTCTCTCTGCCTTTTGGGGTATAGCCAGCACCAGAAGGAGAATGAAATAGAGTGAAAAAAGCTATTCTGTCTCTTGCCAGCACAGTTGGAAACAGGAAGTACTGGAAATCTCTCAACTAAGCCTGGCTTTGGAAGACCTCCAGCCCACTTTGTTGAGGCCTGAGGCTCCAGAGGTTCTGCAAAGCGGCTGAACTCCTTGGGAAATGCCACATACAACCCAAAACCTTCAGCTGTGTGAGTGAAGCAGCACTGATGGGAGTTGGGAGAGAGGGTACACCTGCCTGGAAAATAAACTTAGTCCAGAAAGTCTGCATTTTGTATGTTGTAGGTTCATGCTCGTGCACATTTATGTGCATGCTGATAAATTTGATTGCAGGTTTGCTCATGAATGGTTATTGGGAAATCATGGTTGCCTCTGCTCTGAATTCAGTGGTGAAGTTGAGAAGGAACAGAATGCAGAAGGATTGATAGACTGACCTATGCACCAACACAACGTATTAGACCTTTAGGCATCCTCAATCTCGATATCCACAGATCTTCAGACCCAGAACTACAATTAGCTAAAGACTTTAGTGCATGAAGGGTTTTATGGACACCAGGCTCCAAGCCCTAACCCTACAGCCAACTAACAAACCACATAAAGCTCTCGGCAGCCGCAGACTCTGTGCTGGTGCCAGGCACACAGAGACAGCACACACACCCCCTTGAGACAAACTGAAAAGGCTGCAGCAAGCTTTTATTCCCTGGCACTGTTAGCTAGATCAGGGAGTTAACAGAAGTTTGGGGCTTTGGCATCTTTTGCTGCTGGCAGCTCCCTCTGTCTTTCTAATCATGGTCCGAACCCATGCCCAGCCCAGCCAGGAAGGCTCTGAAGCTGCCTCCAGTTTGCAGTCCAGCAGGATTTGAACGCGCACACAGTGAGTGTTCGGATTCAGAGCCTGGAGATGACAAGGAATGAACAGCATGTGCACTTGATGGGAGTTTTCCAGCCTGTTGAGGTGTCACCAGGAAGCCAGGCCGTCCTCCCATCTCCAGCCTCTGCAGCTGAGCTGTCTTTTAATGCCAGGATAACTCACTATAGCAATGATTGCACACGGCATTATCTCAGCATGACAAATGCAGGCCATGTGTGCAATGCCTCTGCAGCCCTGGACCGCAATCTCTGATGCAGTTAACACTTTGATGCAATCAGGAGAATCATTTGCCAAGGCTGGCTCAGCAGAGGCATCTGGCTCCAAGTTCCTGCCCTCTGCTCCTATGGGAGACTTGCTCCCAGTCCCTACCTGTGGCCATGGTAACAAAGAGAAGTCCTGCTCACCAGGCACTCTCCATCTTATCGACTCCTGGGGAGATTTATGGCAGAGACCTGATCTTAGTGAAGGAGCTAAATCCAATTCACCAAGGAATTACAAGCCTGTCCGATCAATAATCTATTTATCTCCTTCACTTTGCCATCTTTAAACACTCCAACCCTGTCAAAAGAAATTGAAAGCTTTTTAAAAATGAAATTATTGAACTCAGGAATAGCTCTGCTAAGGCTTCTGGAAAGGATCTTGGGACCAGGATGGATCCAGTTCGGATCCAGCATTTAGGAGAGATCTGTCATAGCTCCAGTCACTCAATAGCAACCCAACATGCAGGCTGGGCTGGCAGGGGATGCTGGCACTCAACATGCAAGAAGAATCCAGCCCAAGAGATCACAGATAGTGTGGACACAGAGTTTGCAGGAGATACTGTGTTGACATTAGTGACAAGAAGGAATATGCATATGATGGGAGCACAGCAGGGTGACTTCCACTGCTTTCTCTTTGGCCAACATGAAGCATGAGGAAGGATAGTGTGACCTCTGCTGCACTGGCAGAGCCTAAGAAAGGCTCATACACCTACATACAGGTACGGAGAGCTAAGAGGAAACCGAGGAGTAAAGTGTTAACCCCACCTGAAGATGCCTCACTGAGGTCTGTGGAAGCTGCAAGCTGCATCGTTCATGACTTGGGCGCTCATGAAGTTTAGTTTCACCAGCACATGACTCTGGAAGCAGTCACTGTATCTCCCAAGGTCAGAGATTTGCTGCATCCCAGAAATAATGTTATTTTTCAGCTCTCATGCAGCACTTCTAATTAATGGATTGTAAAGTAGTTTGCATGGAAGAAAACCCAGGCGCAGACGGGAAGATAGCTGAAAGGCAGCCAGTGTCAGAACCAGGAGCAGCATCATAGCCTCTTTGAAGAACAGTTTCCATCACTTTCCATGCTTCATAGCTAGTTTTATTTAACAAATTCAGGCCTTTACAGACCCAGGGGAGACTGCAGGATCAGGTCACACGTGTGAACTACCTGCATAGTAAAGCTCCTTTGTCAAAGAAGTGTTTATGCCCATGCTTAAGCTTTTCTTCAGACCAACCCTGAAACAGAGCATTATTCACAGTCCCAGTGGGACTGAACCATACATTCTGCTGCCCAAAAGACAGGCTATTTTCTTGGGTATAGAACTGGGGAATCACAAGCACAACTGCTCTATGAGAACAACAGTGCTGGAGAGCAAGCATGATGTCCAGACCTGAAGTCCTAGATGTTTGGGTAAGTCAGAAGTTCAGATGACATTAATGATGTTGCACTGGTGCCTGTGGGTGATTTCAGCCCTATGTATGATCTTGCCTATGGGATCTTTGCTCCCCAGATTGCCACACTTTTAGCAGGTTCATGTACCTATTTTTCTACACCTAGAACTTCAGCCCTGAAGCTGGAAGGGGGTAAATTTCTCTGGAGATGGAAAGGGGCCACTTCCTCTCACTTCAGAGGTTAATGAATGGAGTTATTAGGATAATGAATGCTTTACTAATGAATTAGTCATCCTCTCAAGCCATTTCTGCCTTTCACTGTGCAGAGAGGCAGGGCCCTCTGGAGATATGACGCATTCCTTGCTAAGGTAGCTACCTTGTCCTGGCAGCAGCCTGGTTTTGGAACAGGTTATTACTGTGCATCTGCCTTTTCAGCAGGGGAGTTACTTTCCTGTGGGGGGGAAAACCTCAAAGCCAAGAGCTGTGCTGGAGTTTGAGAGGCTTCAGGCTGCCAACTGCTAGGATTAAGCTGTTTTCCATACTGTACTAACACTTCTAGCTCTGATTTAGGAACACCTTCGCTGTCCCCATCCTGAATCCCTTTCACCCACCCAGCTCTGCCATAAGCCTCACTTCGCTGAAGAGTCATCTACCCTTGTCCTTCAATTCCTTCCCCTTCATGCTTTTCCTGCTTTCTCCATCCCCCAGTGCTACTCCAGCTCTGCCCCCAAGCCTGTGTATTGATCCCAAGCCTGACTTGAATCACACTCTTTTTTCAGTTCCTCTTTCTAAAGAGCATTACTGAAGCACTTCACTGAAGAGCAAATGCCCTTGTTGTTTTCTTGTTATTGGGAGTGTGAGAAAGTGCGTGGTGACCATGCCAAAAAAATCACTAACCTCTCTGTGGCAGTCCGATGGAACACTGAAAAGAGCTGCTGTCACACAAGGACTTCCTCCCTTGGCTGCAGGCACATTTGAACTGTGATTTCCAGGGGATGGAAAGCTGAGAATGATTTCACAACATTGCTCCTGAAATAATCCCAGTGAAGTCAACAGGGCTCCTTGAACAGTGCTCGGAGTCACAGCAGCATCTCCAGGCAGAGTCCCACGGACAGGTTAAGGTAAAGAAAAGGCACCCCTCCTCTTTAGGGTAAATTCAGCAGCACTCAAGATCACTGTCATTGTGTTTTAACACAAGGTAAGGAACTTCATCTAACATAGAGTTTTTTAGCAAAGAGTGTTTTAGGTAAAGGATTTTGTATAAACACTTCAGATAAGATGAAGACATCCAGTAGAAAATGTGTAAGGTCTTGGGTTTTCTGGTCAGTTCTTATCAGAAGGAGAAAGCAGAATGGAAAACTTGACCTTTTTAGTGAGAAATGAATACAACACTTTGCTGTTTCAGAAGGGGAAAAAATGTACAAGTCATTTAGAAATCTTGAAGTGTAGCAAAACAGGATTGCCATCCCCAGGCCTGCGCTTCTCAAACCCCACACAGTTCAGGTCAGCTTCTCTGACTTACCCTGCGAGCATTTGGCTCTGCTCTCAGTGCTCAGGCTTCAATCCTCAAATCCTATTTCCCCCTCCCACTCCAGCTTCCTCCTAACTTGTTTATGATTGCCCCTCGGACTGTGCCCCCATTGGACATCCATCCATCTCTACGTGGCTGGCCACCTTGTCGGTTTAAATGCTGCCTGTGATTTATGGCCCAGCAGCTCCCCAGACACATCTCCTGCATGTTATATGGCACTGGCATAATGCTAAACTCTCTTAAACCGCAGAAGAAGCAAACAGTGTTAATTTATGCCTGACTTTTCCTTTATTCCCCAGCATAATTCTGGTTTTAATGTGCCATCTACCCCACATCAATATCCTTTCACCGCTAGCAAGTAAAAACAAAAAAGTGGATATTTCATTTCCCATTCTCCTCCTCTTAAAAGGGTTTGCCGAAACAAGCTCACCCAGCGTGCCCTGAGGTTAGACAAATAGGAAGCAACTGTGGTCTGCCACAGGGATGCTTTATGGGAAGGGCACTGCCCACAAGTGTCAGCTTGCTGGGAGAGTTGTTATCTATTGAATATAACATGTGCAAGCATCTCCTGCATCAGGTTAAATTACTAGCCTGTGCTAATACAAGGCTTTAATACATAGCTAATTTATCAAGCTGCTATTACCATTTACTTCATGGAGCTATAGTCAGAAAGCACATCAAAGTGCTCCGGGAAAGGAGAATAAAAACAGGAGGCACAGAGAAAGGTAACAAAACATTATACAAAATCCATTGAAAGGCTGGGGGCACTGACAAAATGAATTGTCAGCTCAAAGGACTTGTATCCTGCTGGATCCAGGACATCTGCCACTAGTCCTTTCCTGATTGAGGAGCATTTAATTTCTCCCTGGTGTTCCAGCAGCCCCACAGGGTTCTGCAGACTGAAATACAAACCCTGTCGTCCTGGGTGCTTTTCACATCTCTCTAAAACTATGGGTCAGGGAAAAAAACAGTTCACCACCTGTAGTTTTCCAAGAGAGGACAGAAAGACGGTGATCTTGGTAAAATCCCCGTTGAACCTAGGTCTTCAGAGTGCTCTTGAAACACAGTAGAAGGTTGCTGTGCTTCTGATCCAGCCGCCCCAGAGCCTGCATGTGTTCCTAGTCTGGGAAGAGAATCAAGGTCACTAGGTAAACCGTCTACAGATGGAATCTTTACACACACATAACCTATTGATTATGAAACATCAGCAGCTCAAAATGCAGGCCCAAAAAAGGTCACATTTTTCCGGTCTTCTGCTGCTTGTTTGCTCCCTATTCAGTCTCTCTTCCAGATGATACCCTAGAGATTCCCAGTAGAAAGAGGGCCCTGACAGGACTCGGCATGTGAAGGATGAGAGGTGCAGATGGTCATCCCCCCAGTTTTGCTTGAATAGTCACACATACCAAGTGCATGAAAACACATCTAATGCTGGTGTTCAACACCCTGAACTCACTTTGCTCTTTCTGGTGATGTGCAGTGTCACTTCATTGGGATTATATCAACGCCAGAGAATTCCTGCATCCTGGTGTGTGTCACTGCAGTGCTGAGCAGTGCTAAAGGGGGTCACAGCCTCACAAGCTAGGATAGGCCTTGAGAGTCCTCCCTTCCCTGCTGGACAACCAGAGTCTCCATTGGGAATCAGGCTCCTACCTTGGAGCTACTTGAGATCATAGTTTGTTTTCCTCCAGAAAGGACTGTTGCAAGACAAATACCTCTCTCAAGATGACTGAAGTGGGTTACATTAGACAGTGCTCTGGAGACTGTCTGACAATTTCCCATCAGCAGCAAGCACTGCTCTGCTCCTTTCTTTTCCTCCTCTCCACCATCCCTCTTCTCCTTTTGTTGTTAAGAAGTCTGTGAAAAGAGGCCTCTCTGAAGGGGGAACATCTTAACCAAAACGTGTTCTGCTTTGGCAGCTGGAAGAATCAGTGCTAACATGGCCCATGACTGAAGACAACAGCTTATGCTCACGCATCAGACAGGCAAAATCACGATGGGGTTGAACAGAGCAAATCAGCGCTCTGCAGAAATTGAGCCCCTTGGGCCCTTTAGGGAGCAGGACTATAGTTTATAAGGTCAAGCATCATGTAAATTCCAAGCATCAGGCACTGGAATAGTCTGAGGGATTTTATTTGCTGCTCTCCAGAGCTGCTGAACAGATGTGAAGGGTCCTCTGCTGCCCATTGCCAAGCTGCTGCCTTCCCTCCTGCTCCCATATGCCCCCAGAGAGCATCCTGTAGGCTTTCAGCTCCAGCATCACTTCTCTGCTGCCTGCTCCTGCTCCCTCCCAGCTAGTGAGATGCCTTACCCAGGACCCCCAGACACCATGTTTGGTTTCCAACTAGAAACAATTGGCACAGTGGCACCTTCAGGCAGTTTAAGGCTGTAGCACTACAGGGATCTTGCACCCCAGCAGCGAGGCCAGAGAGACGGAATGAATGTTAAATGCTTGTTTCAGATTATAAATCATCAGCAGGCACCCCTCAGACAAACAGTCTGATCAGATAAAGCAAAATTAGTGTGATCAGATAATAAAATCTCAACATCAGATACTGCAAAACAGCCTGGACATGGAGTTTCAATTGGCAAAAGCCTTTTGGCTGGAAAAAAGCATCAGGAGATTTTTTTATGCTCTGTGTTGGGTATTCCACAGAGCTCACTCTCTTCTCCCTGCCAAAACACTGTGGCTATAGCATGATGGAGCCTTACAGCATCCCTCCATTCCAGCACTCTTGATAAACCAAGGGTTATTGTGAGCATGTTTAAAAGGCTTAAACAGAGCAATACGAGTGAGTAATCCCAGAGCAGGAGGCTGTCAGCAAATGCCCTGCTATCAGCTCCCTGCCTGTGCAGCCAGGCTCTCCAGTGGAGAAATGAGACAAGGACCTCAGGACCTCCTGCCTGCAAGAGGGACTGCAGCCACAGCAGTGTATCCTGCTCGCAGCAGTCAGCTGAAATCCAGTTTGAGACTGTCTGGTCATGAGCAGGGCTCTGCAGTTGAGGAAATGCAACTGGGATTATACTAACAAAGAACAAATTGAATTCTCTGGGTTAACGTCGTCTCAATTTTGGAAGACTTTTGTGCTGGATGGTTAGAAAGCTGTTGTCTCTCGCAGATGAGCTGCATGGATTGCCAAATGTATGTCCTCTCAGAGGGAAAAATGAGGTTTGTTTCTGTTACAAACCTACATGACTTGTTTCAGTTTTACAAATTCCCTTTCGAAATGGAAGCATTTGAGAGGCAAAGAAATTGCTTCGAAAAACCCTCACCAAAAAAAAACACCCTTCTGAAAACTTCTTGATCTGATTGATCCATCAAGCTCAGGGTAAGGGAAAGATGACTGCTGCTGCTTTTGTTGCATGCTCTTGTGATTAGCTTCAAACAAGATGCTCCCTCGTCACCCATGGCCCTCCACGTAGGGCACTGTGTACTCTATTGAAGACATCTGATGCTGGAGCAGACCTTCTGCTAGAAGAAAAGGATTTATTTGCCCAGGACTGTTTGGAAAACCATGATTGGACTTAAATTCAAAATAGCAATAATAAAAATATAGAGAAATTCTAGGAAGTCTTTCCAAAACTGACCAAGACCGGCTTTTCTAGGAGCAGAATCAGGAGCATCCATACAAGGAAACTCCACACAGTGGAGTTTCTGGTTTCCCAGCATCCATCTTCCCTCAACCCTGTATCTGTTTTGGGTTCTCCAGCTAACCTGCTATTGTTTCTGAGGATATTATTTATATTCCCTTCTCATATAAAGACACTGTTTTAAAGCAGAAAGCCACAACTACCAAAAGCCAGTGTCCTGGCCTGAATTAATGATACAGGGCAGAATCCCTGTGAAAGGGAAGAAGGTTTCTTTTCTAAGACTGTAGCTAAGAATAACCCTACACGTCCATTTGATGTTCCTATACGACATGAAATGCAGATTCACCTGAGTCTTTGGGATTCCTGCTAGGTGTTTGGAAGGATGTTTCTGTCACTTGGGGAACATAAAATCCTCTCCTTCTTGTTTCCAGGCTGTGCAAACTTCCTTTCTGATCTCCCTTGTCTAGGCAGATGAGGCCACTGATGGGAATTACGGATTACTTTTTGGTGCCAGGGGATCTGAACAAGGGCCAGAATGGAAGAACTCATTCACATCACCAAATGAGAAATGAGTCTGGCTCCAGATTAAAACTCTGCTGCTCAGGTCCATCCATGTCACTGAGGATAATCAGACAAGTAGCTTGTTGGAATCCTAATCCACAAAAAGGGAGAGCCTGAGCTAATGGCTAAATAATCCCGACATTAAAACCTTCCATGAAGCTCAATGAGAGAACCAAGTTTCCAAATGCTTCCAACTAAATGAAACATTAAAGTCAGCACCCAGGGTGCAGGCTGGGAGCTTCCCAGGGCAGCTGGGGTGAGCAGCATTTCCAAGGCAGCATCTCTGGCTCTCGCTCTCATCTCTGGCAGTGTTAAGCACTGTCACAGCACTGGTGAAATGTGGTCTTTATTGGTTCATTTTCATCTCTGTGCATCTGTTTTCATAAGGAGGAGCCTGCATGGATGGAAAGGGGTTTTCTTTGCTTCTTTTCCTTCTTTGTACACCTCCTCCACCTGCACCCCCCCCCGTTTCTCACACCTCAGAGTGTGCTGGCTGAAATAAAGCCCATTTAGTGATGAAATCCACGGCTCAAGCCTGTGGACATCAGTGTAGCCTTAATGAAATTTCTGTGCCTGAAACACATTAGCAGGCAAGAGCTGAGACTGGAAAAAGATGAGGCTGCTGAATAGCTGGCAGAAGTGGAGCTTTCAGAGTGGAAGACAGCAGAGAGAGCAAGGCAGCAAAAGGAGACAGACACACAAGGGGCTGCTTCTGTCTGAGCTAACTTCCTCTTCCAGAGCCACAGACCTTTCTCCATGCCTATCCTCAAATGCCTTCTGATTTCCAGCTCCACCATGGGCCTACAGAGCCCTTACATACTCCCACAACACCCTCTGTCCTCACTGGCCTGCACCCACAGCTAGCAGAGAGCTCCTGTGATTATAAAGCAATAACCTGCTGCTTATTTTGTTAGGCAGATGATCGAAGGCTTTCTGAGCTCTGTAGAGAGTTAGATTCACTTGAAGCAGAGGCCTGCATACTTTTGCTTGATTTCCATTCCAATTTTACTCTGGATTTTGGTCCATTTTACACTTAGGCAGCAGAAAGATGCTCAAAAGTCTTGTTTATGTGCAGAGGGAAGAGGGGGGTCAGAGGCAGGGAAGCCCTCAGGCTGTTATAATTTCCCCCTGAAGACAGACTGACTAAGTAGATGGCATCTCCGAGCCTAAAAATGTGCTCCCATCAGCAGGTTTCATGACCATGCATCATTCAGTTGGTGACATCATTTGAGTCACCTCTCAAATATACACGGCATCAAGGGAAGAGAGGGGGAGCAGGGGAGAGGCACATGGCTGGGAAACACGGCAGTGGAAATACAACTTCACTGATTTGAGATGACTTTCCCAATGCATTCAAACCTGAGGCTGTGCACAGTGAAAACAAGGAGGCAGCTGAGGATGCACCATCCTTCCTGGAGAAATCTGTCCAGAAATGCTTGGTGCATTCAGGCATTGGAAGATTCAGTATACCCAACACCAACTGATGCCACACAATATACAATTAAGCCTTACTGGTGCAGCTGGCTTTGCCCAAATCACGCAGGAACCCTGGGATTTGACACAGCCATAAGCTCCCTTCCAGCAGCAGCATCCACTGACCCCTTACCCTGAGCACTTAACACAATTTCTCTGTGCCTTGAAACAGCGATGGCCATCAGACTCTTAAAACTCAACACAAACACAAACCACCCTTTTAAGATCTATTGCCTTCTCTTTAAAAATGAATAATTATCAATACTATTGCAGGATGTGTCCTTTCAGTTGCTATATTTTCCTTTAATTCCAGTATAATTTTCCTCTGACTGTCTCCCAGAAGATGAGCATTTGACTTTTCTGCTGTGCCCTTTCAGATGCATTACAGACTCTGATCTTGTCTGTGCCCTTAATGGCTTTGTCAAGAGACCATTTCTGCTCAAACCTTGTTAGTCTTAATAAAGATAAAGTCATAAATACTTTTGTGATTTCCCTTTTGCTGGGCTGTAATTTGGCTAACAAATTCAATTAATTTGGAAACTAATAATTATTTGCTTAGAAGCAGATTGAAGGAATTTTAGTTGAAAATGGACTTTTAATGGAAAGACGAGATACCAGTTCTTGGAAATAGAAACTAAATGTGGGAAATGGGATGAGTGACATTTTCAAAATCCTTTCTCATTAACCAGCTTTGGCTTTCAGTAGATGTCATTTTTATCCCCATTTGTAAAGCTAATATTCCTCTCTGTCACATCTGTTGGGCAGACAAATCCACAAAGCCAGAAAAACCTCAGCGATGGAGCTATAAAGGCAGTGAGATCTCATCATAAAGATAA